AGCTAAACATAGCATACTAGCAGCTAAAACATAAAATTAGCAGAACAGTAACTTGTCAATAAGTCTAGCTAGCCTACAGCTAAAAGCTAAACATAGCATACTAGCAGCTAAAAGATAAAATTAGCAGAAGAGTAACATAAAGGTAAACCTACAGCTAAAAGCTAAATTTAGCCAAAAAAAAAGAGGTTAAAGGATAAAATTAGCAAAACAGTAACATAAAGGTAAACCTACAGCTAAAAGCTAAATTTAGCAAAAAAAGAGGCTAAAGGATAAAATTAGCAGAACAGTAACTTGTCAGTAAGTCTAGCTAGCCTACAGCTAAAAGCTAAATGTAGCATACCAGCAGCTAAAAGATAAAATTAGTAGAACAGTAACTTATCAGTAAGTCTAGCTAGCCTACAGCTAAAAGCTAAACATAGCATACTAGCAGCTAAAAGATAAAATWAGCAGAAGAGTAACTTGTCAGTAAGTCTAGCTAGCCTACAGCTAAAAGCTAAATGTAGCATACCAGCAGCTAAAAAATAAAATTAGCAGAACAGTAACATAAAGGTAAACCTACAGCTAAAAGCTAAATTTAGCAAAAAAAAGAGGCTAAAGGATAAAATTTGCAGAACAGTAACTTGTCAGTAAATCTAGCTAGCCTACAGCTTAATGCTAAATGTAGCAAAACAGAATCTAAAAGAAAATTAGTAGCTAAAAGCTAAAAAGAGCATAATAATAAAAAAAAGCTGAAGAAATTATCAGAACATGTTTTTTAAGAAAATGACAAAACTCAGTTTTCTAAGGGAGTTTATAAAATAAAAGTAAAACCTGGAAGTCTTAACAGACTTTTCCTGACGAGGCCAAACATTCTGACACAACTATTACTAAAATATCCCAAAGTGTGCAGAAGTCATTTGATTTTAATAAACGGACGGGAGAAATGAAAAACGGGAAATGCTGAGTCAGCATTCACAMGACTAACTGTGAGCAGTTTTCTTCACCGACCTTCTCGGGCCTCCTCCAGTTTCCTCAGAGCTGCTCTGGCGGTGCCTCGGCGGGCGAAAGCCTTGGAGTAGGAGGGGTCCAGGGAAATGGCAGCGGTGCAGTCCTCCTCTGCCTCCTGATACCTGCGGGAGAACGGGACCAGCAGCCATCAGCGCGTCGCTAACAGAGCGCTAACCAGACAGACAGAAACAGGTCTGTACTTCTCCAGCTTGAGGAAGGCCATGGCTCTGTTGGCAGGAAGAAGAACGTTCATGTTGTCKGCCTCCATGCCTTTAGTGTAGCATTCTACAGCTGCTTCGTACTTCCCCTCTTTAAAGTAGGAGTTCCCCTGTGGAACGACAAACACTTGAAGGAAAACGGTGCTAAAATTCGTCAGGTCGCTGTTAAAGCAGCAAGACGCACCCTGTCTTTGTAAAGAACCGCCTCCTGTTTCCTCTGCTGCTCCTCCACTCGTCTCTGYTCATCAGGATGGACCGTTGGAGCCTCCGCCGGCTGCTCCCCCTCACCCGGGTCACCCTGACGTCCCAGGATCTGAACCGGACCAAAGACGGGTTAGAGAGAAGAAGGCCAAAGGCCTAAACCTGAAGCTGAACCTCCACCGACCTCTTTGATTCTCTTCACTTCATTTTGAGCTTCAAAATTCCCGGGATCAAGACTGAGAACCGTCTCGTAATCTGAAGAAATACCAGATTAAACTGTCACCTAAAACAGCTAAAGTTACAAAACAAAAAACAGATTAAACTGTCACCTAAAACAGCTAAAGTTACAAAACAAAAAACAGATTAAACTGTCATTTAAAACAGCTAAAGTTACAAAACAAAAAACAGATTAAACTGTCATTTAAAACAGCTAAAGTTACAAAACAAAAAACAGATTAAACTGTCACCTAAAACAGCT